ACTTCATAGTTCGCAAATTCCAATCACAAGTAACGGGTCCGAGCTCTTGCAACCATTGAACCCCAAGAATGACATCCTCTACAATTGGCAGAGCATACAGAGTTGTAGAAACCTCAAACCCTTGAATGTTCATCATCACCCTCTTGTATTGAACTCGACAAACCAGTTCCTCGCCGCTCGCCGTTCGAACCCTGAACGGCTCAACTGGAGCTGCGCTCAACCCAAGTGCCATTGCTAGAACTTGATTGATAAAATTGCGGTTGGCCCCGCTGTCAACCAGCGCAAACACCTCCCTGTGTCTGATTCTCGCGCGAAATTTGATCGATTTTGCTGGCCGATCAAACCAATTTTCCATCACACTCGGCGGGGGAGGATTGGTTGCCGGGAGAGGAAGGTAAACCATACTCGGACTCTCGGAGAAACGCTTCAGAGATACGCCGGCGCGGGGGTTTAGGTGAAGAAGATTTAGTAAATAAACCCAACCCATAATCATGATATTTATTCGCAACCTGACTGAGTCCTTTTGTAACTAGAAGACGATTTACTAGTCCTAATCTGTTATTAATTCCTAATTGCTTCGAAATTAATAACGGATAAAGCTCCCAATGGGCCCTCGCTCGCCAGTTGCTCGGGAGATCGATCTTTAGGAGTGCGTTAGTTAGGATATTGGCCCGTTGGGCTTGTATGTGGGCCAACGGGGTTGGGCTGAGTTTTAGGTTATGACAATTGGGATGGGATCATTATAGAGATTTTAATTTTGAGGATGGTAATAATATGTGGTGTCCTTAAATTAATTGGAGTTTGGATAATAATACTATACTCTAATCTTTAACATGTGAATCTTAGTAGTTAATTCTCTAAACGCAAAATTATCATGTCCTTTTAATCGAGAATAACAACGATGATTCTTATTTGTCGATGTACATCTAATTATAGGTGTGAGCCCATTCATATATTATGCACCTATTAGATACGCTGCAATCACTACTACGTACTTAAATCTTAAACCACTACTACTGATTGTTAGTATTTATCATTTATAACTTTCGATCCATTGATATGCAATTGAAATTTAAGATGTAATTACATTAAATTGTTTCAAATGAGAAATAAGTCTTAAATATGCTCTATCTCTAGATTCTCACGTAGTTTTTTCACTTTGACATACTTTCCGACAAAAGTACTTCGAACCAACCATAACAAACAATATAAACAACATTTCGAGTTAAGATTAATAACATCAGTTTACGAATACATTGAACCAAACACTCCATTAAACAGAAAAATAAACATAAATGGATAGCTTTTCTTTGGCACCCTTTTGTCAGCATGAATCTGTGCAGTGTAGGGAAAAAGCACAACCCCACTTCCTAAACACAAAGCCGGTTTAAGTGTGTCAGTGATCAATGATCTATGTGATCGATTCATTGGTGGGAGCAGCAGTCCTCCTTATGATTGGGATCAAGAACCCCCATTCCTCCTCATCAACCCTAGCTTAGCTTAGCTTAGCTTGTTGCCGCCCACTATGTTTGGTTTTTTTGCCTTCCTGTTGATCATCCTATAGAGGCTTCTTTTTCTTCACTACATGACAGAAACTGCATGATTCATAATAATGATCTTCAAGCACTACTAGTGAAGTGTACTCCTACAACTAAAGTAGTCGATATGTACCAATTAGGAAGAATATGGTAGAGATAAATTTATCAAGTGTTATAATTAATTAGTTGATAATAATAATTTCCTACACGCTGTAGATTATTGTCCATGTCTCTGGAATTAGGGTTATAATGAAAATGTATCATATACATATACTCTACTTGAAGGTTTTGTGTGGTTAACAGAAGTACAAGTTAAATTTCTATAAACGGTGCCATAAGTACCATGAATTTTTATAATTTTTCAAAGAAGTCGTTAGTGTTTTGTATATGTTAATTCAATCAAAATCGTAAACAAATTTTTAGAGTATATCGGTTGATATGAAACTTGGAAACATATTGAGATTATTCCATTTCCATGTTGCCTACCACTGTTATTATAATGCTAAATACAATAATAATAATAATAATAATAATAATAATAATAATAATAATAATAATAATGGGATGAATTGTATAGATCATACTACTCTACCTATTGTATTTTGTCGTTAACCTATGATGAGATCTTACTTTTGCCATGCACTAGTAGTTCATCAAAATATGTAAAAGCTTCCTTGGTTCCCTCCATTAGTGTTTGGCGACCTTCCACTATCATGCAGACTGAGGGGAAAAAAAAGGGGGACAGGAAAACTTGGATCGGAGCCCGACCTGGCTTCCTTTCCTGGCTGCGCTTTTGATCGATTATCATCACTTTTGAGCCAAGCCCTAGATAGATTTCACGCGTGCATGCCCTTCTTCAATTCTCTCCCTTTTTACGCTCACTAATTTAAATGCCATCCTAGTACATTGTTTTTTTTATAAGACCCCAAAATCCTGAATATGTTTTACTGCTTAATAACATGTTGATGACAGGTGATTCAAAACTTTTCTTACTTAGTATTTTTCTCGAGAATAACGGCGAGACTAATAATCTTCAATTGAAAATAACTCTCAATCGGTCCAATCGAATCGCGGTAGCGGGAGCAAAAGAGTGGTGGTGTCTTTGAAGCAATGAGCTGCGATATTGCTACAAAGAATTTTGGATATGAAAGAGGGGAAGGAAGGAAGGGAAGGTAGGTTTCCCATGCAAAATATTATCTCTTATCTCCATTGATGCAACCCATGGGAGAAAAAAGACAAGCAAATCAGACACTTTCACCACCTTTTCCCCGATCGAGCAGTTTGTCTTAACTTCTTCTCCCTGTTTGCTTACCAGTTTTCGTACCCTGAAGAGTCCCTTTTTTTCAGTTGGGGACAATTCTAACGGTTATTTTGAGACAAATTTAGTTTTATATCCTTTTCTTGTGTCGAAATCAAAGGCTGGCAAATCCAGTTGAAATGCATGCGGTCGATCCTCGATCGATAATCATGGGTGATTAGCTAGCTAGTTAATTTGTAAATTGCTAAATTTAGGACAAAACAATAATATAAAGACAAATTATATAGGGGTCGTTTGGATAAGGGATTGTATAGAGGGATTTGTGAGAGATTTTAAAACAATCTCTCGTTATGCAGGATTTTAAAACAATCCTGCGTTTGGGAAATATGAGAGTTTTTGCAATTAGGAATCACTACAAGAATTATGTCATACTGCCACAAAATCATAGCTACGTTAGAAAACATTGTAGCTAATGCCAGATTATAGCCACAAAAGTTCCATCCAATGGCTATTTGTAGTTTCTTCAGCCACAAATGTTCTGCCTATAGCTAATAATAATATCGTGATTCAAATTTTATCTAGCATGGCAATTGTTACACTTTTTTGCCACGAACTTTCTGCTATGTTAGAGTAGTATAGCGAATTAGTTCCTTCAGCCACTATAACAAACTTTCATGGTTATTTTCATTCCCCAAATTAGTTTCAGCTATGAAAGATAAATTTGTGACTGTATGCAACAATTGGCCACAATTGTAATAGGCGTAGCTATCAAGGATGACAAATCACAATAAAAGAACTATTTTCCTAAGCATAAATTCGAATTTAGCCATGATTGATTTTCGATACTTCACAACTAGCTACATGCATCAAAGTGATATACCCACTAACGTTTGAATTTTGCTATATGACACTATCATTGAAGCTAAAGACAAATTTGGAACCCAGCTTATCGTCAACATAATTTCTTGAACAAGGGAATACAATTTTTCGTCGAGTTGTTGCTTTTACATGGTTACTTACGCGGTGAGCCAGATGAAGAGTTAGAGATGCATGGACATATTGGTTTACTCGGTGAATAAGCTAGTACATGGTTAGTTGATTTGTTACTTACACGGAGCTCTCTAGAACCATCAAAGGTCTCAACCTGGCCTTGGAGCTCAATTTTCGGAGAGATATTTCACTTCTCTCATATTTAGAGATGAAATTTCTAATCGATTGATCGCCACATAGTTATATATCATTGTCACTTAATATATGGCTTTGTAGTTTTGATGCTTTTGACAGGGGCATGTAATATTGACTATAGCCCTTGTAATATTCTTTAAAGTATTGGCATTTTAAGGTACATATTGAATTTGTACCATCATGTTAAAAGTACACGTTAACTTTGTACTATAAAGAAATTTGTATTTTTATGTTATGTTACAAGCTCATTTTGTATCGTAAAGAAATTTGTTCAGAAGGACATAGGTACAAAACTGAAATGGCACCATATAACCTTAACATACCATTTGGTACCAGATAAATCTAGAATTCATTTAAAATAAAATAACGTGTAGAATTCATTGCCACATGAATTTTTATGTTTGGTATGTCATATCCAAATATTTACAAATAAAATGAATTGAATTCCCAAATAATGTTTGGCATACACTTAGAATTGAACTCCTCTGTATTGGTGCCAAAAAAGTATAGGTAGAAGTAATTTGGTTAATAAATGAGGATAATTATGTCATTCTATTATAATTCGTATAATACTTATTAAACAGATTTGGAAATTCCAATCTCAATTACTTGAAATTGCTATAACTAGTTTTAATTCCGTAGAATTCAAAATGAATTATTTTTAATACAAAAAAAGGATTTCTTTTCAAAAATGAATTTTTTAAAATAGATGGAATTCATTTATATCAAACCGTATATAAAAGTACAATTTAATCTATAATATAAAAACAAAAACATTCATGTTTTATAGAATTGCAAAATTTCTCTATTGCATGAAGTTATTATGATATTCAAACCTTGTAGTATTGATATTCTAAGATTGCCGTTTTGATGATAAAAATAAAAATTAATGACCTAGTCCAAAAAATATGACAATGAATTACTAAAACCCGGAGGAAGATTTTTTACCATATTTTTTAATTTAAGTGGCTAGAAATTCATTCATTTTCAAACGGCGGAAAGTATTATAAAAGGGTCTTTTGACAACACGTCTTTATCACTCTTCCAAAACCCTAGCCGCAGCGGCTGTTAGCTCTAGCTCTTCTACCCCCTTTGTTGCACCGACGAGAAATATTGAGATTTGTTGGCTCAATTGTCTTTTTCTTCAGTCTTCGTTGAACCTCACAATTTTTTCTCCACCATCGATTCAGTGCGAGGCCAAAACCTGATGGTGTATTGTATTCATCAGCGACGAAGGGTGCCGCGTTAGGGATATGCCTCTCCATTGATCCGTGAACGGTGAGTGGACCAATCTGAATTATTCGATCTCTAGAAGGTGGCTGCATATACCTCTCTGGTGAATCTATGTGCTTTTTACATTTCTTAGTTTCGCAGATGTGTGTCCAGGTTTCATTTTGTGCGAGTATCGAATTTTTTTTCTTTTCATCGCCATTTTAATCAGTAACGATGAACTAAATCGATTGTCTCTTAATATTTTGAATTAACGTGTTCTTCTTACTCATTATGTTATTAGCTTTTTTCAGGCCTCAAAGATATTTTGGATATTCAAACAAAAGACCTTTAAATTATTTCCAGGTTATATATACATGATATAGTCATTGTTTTTCCTTATTTTTCAGGTGAAGATAAAATTGCACTGGTCGGCTATCATCATAGTGGAATAAAGCTTATGCTAAGAATTTGGTGGAAGGAAGATGCTGAGAAGCATAGTCATAAATTGTATTAATTTTTAATGTTTATTAATTGTATTATATTTATGTATCTCTTATAAATAGCTTCAATATATAGTTGGTTAAAATGTATGTACAATTATTTTTATTGTTTTGTACTATTTAATCGAACTACAATGTTTAATGAATATTAGATTATGTTCTCCATACACTATTGGATGATCATAAGAGTATCTGGATTAAATATAATAATGATAATACATAAAGTTATAAATTTTATTGTCAAAAGATGTGATTTATAAGATTTATAAAAAAAAAATATTTTTACTAAAAAAAATATAATTATATTTGTGGGGTAATGTTGGAGGTACAATTATAGAGGTCCTGTCAACAAATCCAATGTCATTGCAATTTTACTCATCTGTCGATGTGGTTGAAATAGCCACAATCTCTTTGCGTAGCCAGAACTCTAATATTTTAGTCACGAAAGAACATATGGCAAGTTCATAAATTTGTTCATGGCAAAAAGTATAACTGTTTTGTTTCGAATGATATTTTGCGTAGCACATGACTAGATTAAGCCATGTGTTTGTTTTGCGTAGCTAAATACTTTGATGATTCTGCTACACTAATTTTACTTTATGGCTAGAGGCTTACAATTTTTTTGCTTTAATATAACTTTTTTATAGCTAAAACCCCTCTACTATTAGCTACACATGCGAAAAATGGTGTAGCTAACTTTTAGCTGCACCATTTTTAGCCACTCAAGCTACAAAGTTAATTATTTGTGGCTATATAATTTAGCTACACAATATTGAACTTTTAGCCACAAATAATTGCATAGCTATACATGCATTTTGTTGTAGTGAATTTTAAAAACTCTCAAATGTGGGTTTTAGAAATAGCTGATGGTGATAAGCTATTTTCAAATCCCTCATTCTTGTTTTATTTTTTCCAACACTTACCCTCCCTCGAACTTGCCACCAGCTCCTGCACCCAATTGCCGGCATAGCTTCTCCGGACAGATCCACTCCTTCCGGCCGACGTTTTGGGCTTGTTCTCCACCGAAAGCAATTTTCCACCGTCGTCTCCCCTTCCCGATCCTGCTAGTCGGTCTAACTCCATCCATGGCGAGCGAGGACAACAGAAAAATGGCGACATATCCATACAGAGCCAGGCTCTCCCGTCACCAAACTCGGAGACAATCTCCTTCTTAAAATACTGATTCGCCTTACAATATTAATCCGGCCGAATTGCACAAATCGTTCTTGTTCTGCAATTTCATGAATCAATGGAAAAGTTCGATTGATTTGTTGGTCGATTTGAATCTGTCCCCTGCGTCGGCAAACCCAGCATCAAAGCCCATAAAGACCCAGCGACGACTTCATCTTCCAGCGGCGGTCTCATCCTCATTTTCCGACGCCGAATCTGTCCCACTGCAACAACAAAAGAGGGTTTGGGTTCAAGCAAATCGACTAACCCATCTCGATCTGGGTTTATAGGGATTCAATTTTTGTGTTTGAGAGTTTCAATTTTTGGCTATTGGGGTTCTGTTTCGTGCTAGCTGTTGGGGTTATGCCTCAACCTCCATCGTTGAAACCCGAGTTCTGGATTTGGGTGCTTCTTCCGTCATCGTGGGTATGTCGAGGTCATTTTTGGGTGATGTCGACGTCGATTAGGAAGAAAGGAAGATGAAGGAGGGCAAAATTGTATTTGTATAATTTTCGTTAAAAACCTAGGTTTGTAAACAAACAAGTGATTTATTAAAATCTCTCATATTAAAAACCTGGGTTTTTAAACTAAGGGATTGTGGGTAAAATCCCAGGTTTTAGAAAACCTTCATCCAAACGACCCCATAGAGTAGTGGTGGGTATTAATTTGATAAAAATTAAAGTAGTGGAAATTGATTTAAGGGTCGGCCTAGGAGTTAGAGAAGACACAGTACCGCGGGCAGCCTGTAGTGCCAAAGTAGAAACAGACAAACTGATGCATGAGAGAACACAAGAACATCCTCGGGAATTTGAATACCAATATATATCTTGAACTCTGCAAATCGGTTTGTGGAACTCAACCTAATTTTTAAACACTTCATTTACTTTAATTAATTAACTTAGTTGTAGTTTAGTACCTAGTTGGCTAGCCCTTCTCTTTGGTTACTCATTTCCTGTTTTCATTTTTTACTATAATTGATGATTTGTTCGATCTTTTCCTTTTTTGAAGGGTAAAAGAAAAGGTGCTCGGCCTGGACAACTTTTGACATTAATTGCATCTTGCTCTCGTAGATATATAATACTTTGAGATAGAGTGACCATTTTGAACATAAATACACTCATTGTGTTTGATATTTGTTGCTAGTTTACTATCCTGCTTTTGTTTCGATCGACTAGTAATATCAAGATCGTCAAATTCGTATACAAGATATTTTTATTATCTAACTAATTTATTCAAATACTGTAAAATTTACAATCAGTTGTCCTCACACAAATGTTAAGAGTTCTCTGCACGAACTAATTGAGGATCGTCATTGATCTGTTCTCTTAACTAGGGACAAAAAAGTCATGGTCGTTCCAATATGAGGGACGCCAATATAATTGTTGTGTTTTTCCATTTGGCGTCCCTCATATTGGAACGATTGTCATAAGAAAAATTGAAGAGCAAATTAAAACTTGAGACAACTCTCAGGCGAGTCCAACAACCTTAACTATTAGGGCCGTAATGCTAACATGTCAATTATGTCATTTTATGTACTCAACCGTGATTGTGCCTTTCTTGGGACATTTATCTTTTTAATGTCCTCTATATATGAATGTGCTTTTACGATAGCAAATCAATCAATATAGAAAAGAAATCATAATGCATGTCTCGATCCACAATATCATGTGCTCAAGTCAAATACTAATATTGAAGCTTATTAAGTTCAATATATGATACACATTCACATGTTAAGAACCTCATTTATAGCAATCATACAAAATTACGAATTGTTCAGTTGTTTGGAAATGTTTGATATTCATGTGACCATAGAACATGCACATTGAAGTTACTATGTCATGAATTTTTTAGAATTTCATATGCATTTCCATACCTTTGAAAATTGAGTGCACTCCCCCAAACTGCTATAGTGGGATGATTACTCCCTTCAAATATAAAAAAGGGTTACTTCATTAAAAAAGGGATAAAAGGGTTGAACAGAGCTTCCCAGTTCCTAAGCTAAGACACAATAAACTCCAAATCACTTCCCCTTTAACTAATTAAGAGAAAAAAAGGGTCTTGGTCATGAGTTGTGTCTCCACTAAACTTTCAGTTTCTTTTCAAACAGCAAACCTGTCTTCTACTTTATGTTCCCATTCCCTTAAAAGCAGGTTTCAGTCCAGCATTATTTGACTGATCACCTCTGCAATTGCTTTAGGAGATAGAGTCAACCAGCTGATATACAAGAGTATCTTTGTCAGTAAACTTGAGATCATAACCATCCAAGCCAATATCAGACAATGTGAACTTTGACTTTCACTTCCATCAAAACTCATCTTCTAAATAATTACCATTCACAGCCATGTTCTGTAATTATTTATTCTTAAACACATTGGATCGATTCCTATGTTTTTTAGCATATGGTATTCGTTTGTTTAAAAATCTAGATTTGGATTGTTCTTCCTGTCATGTCTACTTTGGAGTGTTATGGTGGAGCTTGGATTATTCACCTTGTCCTGGTTTATGCTCTGGAATTCTGACCTTATTAGTCTACCATTGATTAGGCCACATAAAGACAAGAGGTTAATTGTGATTAGCTGATTGTGCAAATTAAAAGACATAACAGGAGTTGTAAACTCAAACCATGATCTGATGAGTTTCGTGGTTTATTTATGAACACTTATTTTTAGGTTAATTTGCAACCAAAGGGAATATATATGATGATATCCCATATTGATTTTTGTTAAATGATTGTGATTCCTAATGTTTGGATTCAAAATATGGTGAATGTTATCATAATTTCTTAGATATTTAATCAATAACGCCACAACACGATTAATTAGAGTGTTATGAGACAATAAAAGTATCACATCGTATATACATGAAATAAACCAATAATACACTTTTATATATATATATGCTCACCAAACAACATTAGTAAACCCAAAAGTAATTAATCCCTAAAGGGGACCCTCATTCCAACAGCTGGTATCAAAGCCTAATTCGAATAAAAAATGGTTGACTTTTGAGTGTACCCTCGGTCTGAGACATCGGGATTTGAGATCAACATATGGTGGATGTTTATCTAGCGAATCAAAGATTCACTAATGACAGATCAACGTATATATGCATATGATAGATTCTTGTATCGACCATATTCTGCAATACAAGCTGTCATAACCGTTGATGGGAGGACAAAGTTCATGGTCCTATATTTTGAGGGGCGGTGAGACAATTGAACTACCACATTGTGTATACAAGATAAATGACTTTTGATTTTATACTAAACTCTATTAGTATAAGACTTTCAAGAGGAAACTTAAAGGTACCGTGTGGAATTGATGCAAGGCGAATAATATGATACTATGAAACACACGGTCCAGTTATACACAGTAGAGAAAGATGAAAGATGAAGTCACTATGTCCAACATCAATCTTGGAGATAAATATCACGAAGTGTAGTTATAGAAATTGTAATGCAACATGGATATTAGACCATTTTTGTAAGAAACCATTTTTATATAAGAAATATTCAAGAAAAAGGAGGCCATGAAGCTCACTTCTTGTCTGCTCGCCGACCAATACTTTGAACCAGTGGCAGCTTTTGCGCATGTATCCCCACTACTCATCGCTCTCGTTTCCCCCAGCACAAAAAACCAGGCACGATCATATCCTTACAAAACACCCCCAATATTTTTTCCTTGATGAACTGAAAAACCCTAATGTTCATTGACCTCACTAAATTCAAAGCACATGACCGATCCAAACAATATAAGAAAATGGTTGTTTCTAAGTTCTACTAAAGAAAAAAGAGGGTTGCTAATAATACAATTTTGATTTTGTATTTCAATCCAAACCAAGTCAAGGAAGGTTATCAAACAAACTCTTGAAGACTCATGCCCGGTTTTGCACTTGGTTCAAGGGGAATTGATGCGTCAAGTGGCAACTGATGTCGAGTATATATAAGTTGGTTGATCTTCTTACAGAATAAAAAAAAACTATTATTCGTGAGTAAAAATATATGGATGGATTGTGAAAGTAAAAACAATTTACCATAAGCACACCAGGGACGGAGCCAAGCCAGGAATTTACGTAAGGGGGGCCGATAAATATTTTTTAAGAAATAAATTATTATGCTATTTATCATTCAACAAAAATCACCAAATTATCAACATATAGCCTATTTTTTACTACTAGAAGAGTTTTTGCATATTGTTTGGTTAAAAAGCAAAATTAGTGTTATTTAAAGTGAAAAATGGAACCCAAGTCCTAAAGGAAATGGAGAAAATGCTGAAACTAAGTATACTTCCTATTCATAAGCAAATTAACTTGCAAAATTCAGAAAATTAAGGTTAAATTGTGAAAGATATGCCTCAAATGTGAACTTTTTGATACCAATTGTAAGACAACAGGTAAAGAATGTACTAAAATGGGAAAGTTTAGTATCAAATTATTAGGCGTAACAAATGTGGGGTTGAGAAAGTCAGGTATGAATTGTAGAATAAGAAGCAAAAATGTACCAAAATGAGAAAGTTTGGTGCCAACTCGCAAGACATGAAAAATTTTGCGGTTAGGAAGCAAGAAAAGTCATCTAAAATACAATGTAATGAAAACTAGCCATCTACCGTTGAAACGCCAACCTCCACTTTACAAGTGCAAACACCCCCCTCTTACACGCTAGCTCCGTCCTTGAAGCACACATGCATTTTATGATCACATGATTCGTAACACTCAATTAATACAAAAATGTCTATAATATAACCAAATTAATGAATCTCAAGTGTCAATCGTTGAATTAAGACTCTGTGCTTTACAAATTTTAAGTATAATACCACAAATTAATACATACCAACCCTTATCTTAAAACTACAGTAAAAAAAGACCACCCTTGCTAATCAAGATAACTCCAAAGACCCCAATTGAAAGCGGAAATGAAAAAAACGAGAAAGAAAGTCCGACTTATCATGTCCTTGTATTCTATCTATATATATGCCAACAAATGCACACGGCTGGTGAGAAAAGAGAGTACAGTCTCCTCAGAAATCATCAGAAAACCACAGACTCCTTTCTTTCTTTCTAGAGAGAGAGAGAAATTGTGTGTGTGAACCCCATGGAAGAGAGAATGTCAGGATTCTGCATCGCCAAAGCTCGAACCCATCTTCGCAACAGCAGCAACAACAAGAACAACAGCAACGACTACGGCAGCGGGACAAAGTGCGGGCGGTGGAACCCGACGGCGGAGCAGGTCAAGGTCCTGACGGAGCTCTTCCGTTCGGGCCTCCGAACCCCCAGCACCGACCAGATCCAGAAGATATCCAGCCAGCTCAGCTTCTACGGCAAGATCGAGAGCAAGAACGTCTTCTACTGGTTCCAGAACCACAAGGCCCGCGAGCGCCAGAAACGCCGCCGCGTCAACCTCGACGACAACGACGTCGTTCTCTCATCCTCGTCAATCATATCCCCACCTTCCAACCTCATCCGCCGCGACGATCCCTTTTCCTCCTCCGCTAGATGTACGTCAACTCGTCGTTTCTTCAACCCTACTAATCTTTCGTCATAAACCAACAGATTTCAATAATAAATAAAAAGAGATTTAGGTATGGTATTTTAACGATTTTCTTACAAAATAAAAACCAAATCGTGGGTGTGAAGTTTGCACATGCTTTTAAAGTTAATTCCAATAACTCGAGTCAGTTGAAAAATGTGCGTATCACTTTTTTTACCGGTGTCGTTACTAAATATGGTTTTGTTCATTTTTGGTGCAGATTTTTCAGAGATGAGCCATAACAGGCAGCTTCAGTATTATAACGAGGAGCCGCCAGCAGCAAAAGCTGAAAGGGTGATAGAAACGCTTCAGCTGTTTCCATTAAATTCCTTCAACGACGCTGCTGATCATCATCAATACTACTATGGCCGTAAGGAAGCAGCAGCAGCTGCTCGTGGGTTCTCTTGTGGGTTCAGTTCAGAAATGGACCATCCGCCGCTGGATCTACGATTAAGCTTCCTGTAATATGAATTTATATGAGGGTTTTATTAGCTAATTAATCAATCAACCGGTTATATGTATGTCTAATATAATGTTGTTCTGATCGAAGCAATGATATAATATATTAGGGTTTTTAATTACTACGTAGTAGTGAAATATCAAACATGGTGGCTGGAAAGTGAGTTTATGATGAGCAGCAGGTGGGCAGTGTCAGTGGTCTTACTGGGTCGTGGTTCTCTCCAATCAATGTATTAAGAAATCTAAAAAAAGAGATGGAGAAATTGACCAAATCGATCGGGTCGTGCCTTTGAACATTCTTCTATCTCTGCATGCTTTTGTTTCTTGTTTTGCGGTAGAAATTGTACTGCATAATGCATATCTTTAATTTTAAGCGAATATGATTAACATAATGTGGATTGATAATTATGTCCTTGAAATTTGGTTTACTGAAGATTTGATTTGATCATGGATACCACCGGTTCACCGCTTTGTGTGCTAATGGTCTTGATTAATGTTTTGGCAAATATAGAGGTGGGAAATGGATTGGATTCATAGATTGATAGTCATAGATTGGATTGGTAGATCTATGGATCAAATTGATTAGATCCAATGGATTGGTGGATTCATGGATTGGATTAAGTGGATTGGTGGATTATCAATGAATCCAAATGACATCCTCGACCTTGGATCAATTTGTAAAATGTGAAAAGTTTAGGTAACAAAATATCATAATGAAAATTTTTATGTAGCAAAGCATAATATTTCAATGATATTTTTTGTTTAAAAAATAAAAATTAAGGTACCAAAATGTAAAATATAAAAGTTATATGTACTAAAATGTATATTGTCATTTGGATCCATGGAACAACCCATGAATCCACCAATCCAGTCGGATTTGGATCAAATGAATTGGATTAGGTGGATGGATTGGATTGGATTCATGGATATGGATCCTAATTGCCACCTCTAGGCAAACACATTGAGGCATCGTTCATTTGACGTGTTATTATAGCACTATCGATGGACTTAGTTTTCCAATTTGGCTGGTTTTGGACTTTGAACTGGCTGCACGTTTCGACCGATTTGAGCGGTTAAATAGTATTCATCATAGCATGCTATTAGAATATAAATATTTTGATTAGAACAGCTGCCACCAACCTTCCAGTCCATGGATTGTCTTGCTTCAAGATCCCTAAAGAGAATTGCAAGAGATTAAATAGTCAAGTAGCTAGGTTCTGGTGGGGTTCAGCGGATAATGTGGATCACCCAATACATTGGGTATCCTGGAAAAGCTTGGCGCATAGCAAATCTCTTGGAGGTTTAGGATTCAGGGACTTTGGGGCTTTTAACCAAGCCTTGTTAGCAAAACAATGTTGGCGAGTTTGGCAAAACCCGGACTCTCTCCTGGCCTCAATCTATAAGGGTCGATATTTTCAGCATGGCTCAGTTTTGGATGCTGATCTAGGGTCAAACCCTTCATGGGGATGGCGCAGCTTATTGTTTGGTAGAGACCTCCTTCTCCAAGGGTTAAGATGGCAAGTTGGAGATGGGCAAGATATTGTGGCCTTCAAAGATAAGTGGGTCATTGCAGACAAACCCATCGCCCCGTTGGTCCGCCTCGCGAACATAACTAACTCCCCAAGAGTTTCCTTTTTCATTAAGGAAAATAGAGGAGAGTGGCATGTCCCAAGGCTGCATTACTGTTTCGATCCTTTAACAGTAAACCTTATATGTAAAATCCCGCTCCCGAGATACCAACAAAGTGATACAAGAGTTTGGCATTACACAAAGAATGGTTCATATACAGTCAAAACAGGGTACCACCTAGCTCTTGAGCTCACCTTAGATTCTAGCCGAAAACAACTGGCCCAAATCATTGATCCTCCTATCTGGAAGAAAACCTGGGACATGGTTTCCCCCCCGAAGCTAAAATTTTTTATATGGCAGTGCCTTAGAGTAATTTTACCAACGGTAGTAGCACTCAAGTCTAGGGGAGTAAATTGTCTGGTTCGTTGCCCAGTTTGCTGGAGAAGCCCGGAAAGTCTTGAACATATGTTCTTTAAATGCCCCTTGGCCACAAGATTTTGGTCGCTCATGGGTCTAAATGATTTCATTTCCTCGGCCCCGACTGTGAATTTCAGTCTCTGGTGGCGACATGTTATGCTTTCTGAGCACCCCCAAACCCACATTCTCCTATACGTTTGTGTATTATGGAGGATCTGGAAGTCTAGAAATAAGGTGGTTTTTGAGCATTTCCAACCTCATGCCCAGTCTCTCGCTCGTCAGTGTTTTTTCAAAGTCCGTGAATTGTCTTCCTCCCTACCTTTGGTCCCTGCTCCTCCGCCCCAGCCTTCCTCCTCTCGTTGCTCGTTTTGGTCGCCGCCTCCAGATGGATTTTTGAAGATCAACTTTGACGCTGCTGTTCGGCCTTCTGGGTGTTCGTCTGGTCTAGTGGTGCGAAGCTCAGATGGGCATGTGGCTCTGGCAGTAGGGTTTCTTCACCCCGGTGTTGTTGATCCCTACCTCGCGGAACTCTTTGCTGCTAGAGATGCCATTCTCCTCTTGGTGTCCAAATCTCTTTCTCGGGTCATCGTTGAAGGAGATTCAGAGGTCGTGATTCGTCAGCTTTGTCAAGGTGTTCTCTCAGACTCCATTGGAGGTTCGGTGCTTCGGGATTGCTTCCTTCTCCGGTCTTCCGTCTCTGGTGTCTTAGAGTTTAGGGCGGTTCCTCGGACTGCTAACAGTGCTGCCCATAGAGTGGCGCAGAAAGCACTGTTACTCTCCCCTTTAGAGTTGTGTTCCTTTGACTTTGTAGGATGACTTCACTAATGTATTGGGTTGGGCAGGGTCTTGGTAGCTTGTATAGGTTCTCTCTTGACATTTCTTGGAAAAAAAAACTAATTACTAGAGAGAAAAAACAAGAAATAATTGTAAACCAAAAAGGATTAATTAATTTTTTCCCGGTAATTAGGATTAATTAATTTCTCTGTGCATACGCTGTTTGATTTTGATTTCATCAAATTGTTGGTGTAGTAGTAGGAGGAGGAGGAGGGTCTGCCTTGGAATTTGGAGTGTTTGGTTTACCGATCACAAAAGAAATGTCTGTCCCTCCTCGGACTCCACAAACAAAGACGACTGCTGCCGGCCGGCCGGTCCATGCACACACACATATATAAATATATAGTTGATCCAATATACAATTAACTGAATAATAAAGAAGTAGCAGTGATTAAGATTTCCGTGCATTGGGTTTAATTAAGATCTTGAATGCCTCCAACGTTGAAATTTCTTGCATCCTTCTACTACTGCGCTCTGCAGATCTCCGTTCACATCTGGAGGATTCTCCTTGAGGATTGTGAGAGGAAACATCACGTAATTTCCTTTGCAAGTCTCTTAGGTGTGTGAAAGTCTCGACTTTCTGGTGTCCGTTTGCCAGCCAAATCTCACTTTTGAATTTATACGATCCATTCCTGCAGCCTGCCTTGCTGCTTTTGGTGATTGTCAAAAGCTGTCAGTTCACCCCAACCCCGTAGATTATATATGGATTACACGCTTTAGGGAGTGTTTTTTTATCCAAGGTTGTCAACCCGCAGGTCGACCCACTTTGACCCTGACCCGGTGAGAAAAACGGGTCGTACGCATCCGTCGGGTCGACCGCTACAAGGTACCGAGTTGAAGGTCAAATTGTAATATTTTTTTATTTGGTTTGCAGAATGCGTCTATATTTTTATTTTTCATTTCGCCTAACTCAACATTTGGAATTTTAAGTTGAACATTTGAATATTGATGTTATATAAGTGTGTGTGAATTTTCACCATATGTTGCATCTAAGTACGACATGTTATTTTGGTGGAATATTATATGTCATAGATGAGATTTGATATAGTTTATCAGGATAAGTATAATATAATGACTCTTTTCATCTTTCGGGCTAAATCAGTTGACCCATTAACCCTTGACCCACTATCTCGATCGGGGCCGGGTCAGCCCGCGGGTTGACAACCTTGGTTTGATCTCTCTTTTTTTATCAAAATGTATTAATGTAAAAATGTATGCATAGTTGCATACATAGTTTTTGTTAATGAAAGGATCTGTATCTTACATACACCAACATATAAAAATTATTTTATGTGCTTTAGTAAAGATTATAATTTTGAGGGCTAATACCACTACAACACCCGAACTATCGAAGAAATGCCACTTATGTCCTATGCTTTTCAATATTCCATTTCTATCATGAACTATGATACTTTGTACCATTTGTATCCTGGCGATTTCGTTGACCGTTATCTCAAACGGTTGACCTGACGGTGGTCAAAGAGATGTTGACTTTTGCTGACATGGAAGGAAACGTGGCATCCACGTAGATGCCACATCATACCACATATATTATTTAATTCAAAATCAAATTAAAATGCAAAATAATTAAAAATAAAAAATTAAAATAACCTTCTACCCATCGTCGCCTTCAACCCGCTCCCCACCCTACCCCGCCCTCAATTCTAACCATCGTTGTCGCCGCCTTCAAATCCGTTCCGCAAATCAGCATCTATGGCAACGATATCTCTCTGCCGCCTTCCCCCATGACAAGCTGCTCTTCCAGCGACCTCGCTTCCTCAACCCCTCCATATGGAAGACGAGGAAGCTCTGATTCTCATACAACCAGTGGAACAACTTCGGCGGCCGAAAGATGGGAGAGGAGAGAGGGACGATGATGGATAGGGACGCAAACGACGACTAGGGATCGCGAACAACGATCGGCGATGCCATGAGACACCGACGATGCAATCTTCCCCTGCTAGATTTGATTCCCCTCCAAATTGCTCGATCCCGCCGACCTGACCGTCCAAATTGCCCTAGCCCGCCGACCCAACATCGGGGCAAGATCAAGTTATCAATCGATGGGTGAAGGGCGGAAGAGAGACGGATTTGGATGGGGGAAGCTAGGGCCATGGCTGGTCGATTTAGGGCTCCTCTGAAATCGACCATGGAAGTTTCGATTCAGAGCAGTGGTGGAGGCAGGGGTTTTTTGTCGAATGAGGCAGGGGTTTTTGTCGAATGAGGCAGGGGTTTTTGTCATAGTTCGGGTGTTGTAGTGGTATTAGCCCTAATTTTTATTATCTTGAAACTGACAATCTCTGCACTGCTACCCAAGAGGAAAAAAAGAATTATCCCTAATCGTACCGGTAGCCACGGTTATTGGTTAAACCAGTAACCGAAGCAAAACGGTAGTCGAATGAGTTTTTGTGGCTGGCGGTATACCATGATCGAATTTGTGATTTACCGTCGGCCGACCGGTATTCCCACGCCGACTGGGAAAAGGAAAGCAAGCCGTCACCGATTAGGATTTCTAGATTTGTAGGAATAATAACTAAACGTCGGCCACCCAAAAAGACCTAACCCAAGTAATTAGACCTAAATCGGACTGTTATTATAGTGTTATTCTATCCCCTGCCCGCACGAGCACGACCGCCGTCAGAGGTTAATCGCTCGACCGCACAGCCCAGCAGCTCGTCCTCTCCGCCTCTCCGTCGATTTGAGAGGTAACCTTGTGTTTGCGTAGCCAACACCCGAGTAGTCTCATTCTTTCAAATTTCAATATTGACTCAATTTGTCATAGCCAGGCTCGTAGCCGAGCACAGTGATGAAACTTGAAAGGTGTTTGTCATAAATTGATAATTTATATACTGATATTGACATATATATATTATAATTATATTGTATGTAATGTTTTCACTTTTCACATACGAGTGTCGATTTGATACCGCAATCTGGATCGGGTTATTGCACCATATAGTACTTAGTAATAGTCCAGGCCTTGTAACTGAAAATACAATACAGATGGGCCAACGAGCATCTGGCCCAAAAGCCCAATTAACTTTGTCATTGTCTCCACCGAACTGAAGGTATTTCCTGTCCAACAAGCCAGTCAAAAAGAAAACTAAAAGGAAAAAAAGGGTCAATACTCGATTCCAGCAGCGGCACTCAGAACCGAATCCGAAATCAGTCCCCGAAGAATTAATCGGAACGAAACGAATCGCCGGCAATGGACGTGATCAAGACCCAGCAAATTGCGGCGAGGCCGATCGAGAAGGTGGTCGTCCACCCGCTGGTTCTGCTCAGCATCGTCGACAACTACAACAGAGTTGCCAAGGACACTCGGAAACGGGTCGTCGGAGTCTTGCTCGGAAGTGCTTCTAAAGGAACCGTCGACGTCAGCAACAGCTACGCCGGTCAGTAATGTTCTTCCGCCGGCTCCGCTCTTTTCTTTTCGTTGTTGTATTGGTTTTCCGCGCTTCTTTTCCTTTCTTGTTTCCAGATCTGTTTCTAGCTTAGACAGGTGCTTGGATTCTGAGATCTTTGTTGCCTAGGGTTCGAATTCATATAGCCTTGGTTTTTATGCCATGACAGTTATCTTTTGCTCACACCTTTGGTTGAATTTGGCTGAGAATCTAGGGAGTATAGGTGGCGCCTCTGTAACATTTTGGTTGTGGAGTAGATACTCGCAATTAGGGTTTTGTGGGGAATGTGAGACTAGGGGCACAAGGTTAGCTATTTGCAATACCGATTAACAGATGGTTATGATAACTATGAGATGGTTGGGAACTATCGATATTACTTATTAGTCTCAAAGAAACGATTTTGATGCATACTAGTGCAATGTAGGGATGGGTGCAGATTTATTCAACTGTTGTGTATTCCAAATTAAGCTTTTTTCATCTTTTAACTTCACCTGTATCCTGCTAGCTTCTTTTGCCATTGATTCTAAAGGTCCAATGCTATTCTGATTGTTTATACAATATCTGAATTGCGACTTTTCAGTGCCATTCGAGGAAGATGAGAAGGATCCCAGCATCTGGTTTTTAGACCACAACTACCATGAATCGATGTTTTCCATGTTCAAGAGAATAAATGGTATCAGTTGTTGCAATGTTGATTATTCTTTTGTTGTTTTTTGGAGGGAATGCGGTATTGAAAAACTCTTGTCACTTTTGCAGCAAAGGAGCATGTTGTTGGGTGGTATAGTACAGGTCCAAAACTGAAAGAAAATGATCTGGATATTCATGGCTTGTTCTCTGAGTAAGATAGTCTACTCTGACTTCCTAGTTTTTGTGCTTTTAATTGTGCTTATGCTACATTTTGTTTGTGGAAAGCAAGTAGCCTTGTTCTGAACTTCTCATAGTTTCGTAAAACCATATGGTAGTTCTATGCTTAACTTGAAGGTATGCATGTTGACCAAGAGGAATGTTTTTCTTAGAGTTCTAATGGTCAGTTCTGTGGTGGCGCAGCTATGTTCCAAACCCTGTCCTAGTCATAATTGATGTCCAACCAGTAGAGCTGGGAATTCCTACGAAAGCTTACTATGCTGTGGAAGAGGTCAAAGAGGTAAGGGAAAATTGAGAGTTTGATGTGTTGTTTGGCTTTTTTTTTGGGTTTGAACTGTTATATGCAGAATACAAAAGGAGTTAAAGATTGAGATGCTTAAGCTAATGTTTGTTAATAATTGCAGAATGCAACGCAGAAAAGTCAGAAGGTATTTGTGCATGTGCAATCAGAAATTGCAGCTCATGAGGTTGAGGAAATCGGTATAGCGTCTCCAATCCAGAGTTCTATTACTTCCAAGTCAAAACATTTTTAAACATCACCTTGTGCTTGCAGGTAGCCATTTTTTTTATACTGAAATTACATCTCTTTCTTGTGCCTTCTTTATCACAGGTGTGGAACATCTACTTCGGGATGTTAAGGACACAACTATAAGCACCCTTGCAACTGAGGTGACTTGTCTGGTTAAAGCTCATCTGTCTTGTTTCCTTCAAATTTTCTGCTGAGCTGTGAGCACTTATCTCGTTTGTCGGATTCCATGTAGGTGACTGGCAAACTTACTGCCTTGAAAGGCTTAGATGCAAGGCTCAAAGAAATAAGAGGTTATCTAGACCTTGTTATTGATGGAAAGCTTCCTTTGAATCATGAGATTCTGTACCATTTGCAGGTTCGACTCCTCTTTGGATCCATTTTAACTGATAATCTGAGAACTTTTCTATCCTAGTTGCATAATATTTTCTGTTGATCTTTTCTCCATGAAAATTGACCAAGAACTGAATTCCTCTGATACGGACTGATTCTTGTTGCCTTGCCTTAGAATTCAGTTCATTTCATGGGGAGGTTATAATGTGATTTCCATGTCCTCATATTCTTAGCTTGGTTTTTGTGTTAAGTCCTTATAATTTGTTGTGAACCCATATGAATGTCACCTCCCTTTTACTGATTATGTTTTTCTTCTCTCCTTACCAAAGGACGTATTCAACCTACTTCCGAATCTCAACGTTTCCGAGTTGATCAAGGCTTTTGCTGGTAAGACACAAACACAACTCAATTTAGAAGTAAAGTTTCTGCTCGTATATTCACCATAGCAATTATGTTGGCAGTGAAAACAAACGACATGATGTTGGTAATCTACCTCTCGTCCGTGATTCGAAGCGTTATCGCCCTACACAACTTGATCAATAACAAGGTCAGACTACTTATATCGTGTTACTGCAAACAGAACCTGTTGTTATAGTTGTGATAAATATCTTTGTTAGTCACTACAACTTGAATCCCTAACCACGCATGTTGATGAAAATCCAGTTGCTCAACAAAGAACACGAGAAAGCTGAAGATTCGAAACCAGTCTCTGTACCAACTGCCACCGGAAGCTAGATACACAGGATCAAGTTTGCGGCTGATTCTCGGAGATACTTGATCTTCATCCATTGTCTTTCCGATCGTCCTTGTAAGACATAGTATGTTTGGAAGATTCTAGGGATGGTTTGGATGATGGATTGTGTCTATGTCCATCAAGGCAGTGTCCTCAGAATTGATCAATCCACCCACTACTTTGACTTTGATGCCTCCCAAGTTTTTTAAAACATTTGTAGAAGGGTGTTTTTGTTCTATTAACCAGTCTAACAATCCGTAACTTACAGTTGTTAAAAAGATTCGTCAGTTGCTTCAAAATCCATCGTTCCACACATTTAACCATCCGCCAACCAAATACAAGACTCTTATCCTCTTGACCTCTTCCTACTACATAGTACTAATACACTAGTTTATATGCAATGATCAATCAGTAGTGTCATCCAGATCAGGCTGAACGGACTGCTCGAACTCAGCATCCATGATAACTCCATCCATCACGTGAACAAGGATCGCCTTCCTCCTGATGTCCACTCTCTCCGCCGGAATCCTGTTCACGACCAGCGTTCCCTCCGAATCCTTCGACACGAACAAAGTCAATCCTGACAACGAATCGTAAGAAACCTCCTCTCCTGGAGCAACCACGCTCGAATGTAGAGCTCGAGGTACGGCTGAGAACCCCAGAACTCGAGAAACTACAGCGTAAGTATCGTTCCTCCTCGAGCTGTTATCATCATCGTCGGCAGCTGCAGATCGTAGCCCAAGGTCACGCTCGAATGCCCTCTCGGAAGGCACAAAGACCGTGAAAGCAAGGTCGTCCGGCAGCATTTGAACCATCATCTCACCGTACTTGCCGAGCTTCTCGTCGCCGGCGACCACTTCCTTCCGGTTGCTGAAGGTCTTGTAGGGACCCATCATTGCTCTGTTCCCGCCGAGGGTCACATCTGGGAGCCGGAGGAGTGAGAGCATGACCACGAAGATGCAGCAAACGGAGACTAGCAGACCCACGAATGCAACTGAGTTCTTCAGAGTGTAGATTCTACCCATTTTTTCTACCCAGATAGTTTCTCATCCATTGAAGCTCCTGTTTCAGCTGCCAGATTCCGCGGGACTGCGGATTATTGAGCAGAAGATTAAGGAACAGAGCAGATTGACCCAAAAGGACGAGCGAGGGATTGAAATAGTGGAAGGAAGGAAGTTTCACCTGGTAACGACACTCTTCTTCTTTGTCTGGAAATGGAATGCTTCAAGAGAAGCAATTGAAAGTTCAGTTTACGGATTTGGAGGGACGTTACTGCTTTTGATTCAAGTTTGGATGGTAATGAAATTTTGGACAGAGAGTTCAGTTGGGGTAAAGTTGGGTCTAGATCGGATTCCGATGCACCAAATCGGGGAAAGCGCTCCTAAAAGAAATTCACTGCCTAGGGAACTGTGAGTTCGGCAAGCGAACCAGAAGGCCCATGGGCCACAGGGTCCAGTCAGATTAACGTTACTGGTCCAGCCCGAATGGCAGATTGCCGGTGCCCGGTAGTCTTCTTTCCTTTAACATGGGGACTGCAACATTTACGGTGAATACCTTCACAAAAATAAAATAACATAAAATAACATAAATAATTTCAGATTTTTCAACATTAGCGTTACATTGATGACTCAACCACAAGATACACAAAATCTCTCGCGACAGAAAGACAACAGGAACTCGAAGTTGTCAACTCACCGTGGAGGTGTGTAATTGAATGTGTTTTTGTCTTATATATTGTTCAGAAAAAATTGCATAATGTAAACGAATTTCACAGCTTGTTTGAGTATTATCTATGGTTTGTGATACCGTACTAGAGACAACACCATATTCAGAAGTATTACGATTGCGTGTCTATCAATAATACATTAATGTAACACTGTTGTTATCGTAAGATTAAAAAAGAAAGTTATATATTCAACATGCATCATATGAGTAGATAGTCTGTTTAACCTCATAAATTCCATCAACACGAATGTTCTTAATATTTCTGTCACATCGACCAATGATCTAGTTGGTGATAGAAATTTTTGAAACCCGACGATCAATATTAAATATGGTAAGATTATTGATTCTCATATGTTATTCAGGATGGAGAATTATATCCTTCTTTGAGAGTGAAGGTACATGCAGTTTGTAACATCTTATTCCCTTTCGACAGTTGAAATATCAACTTCAAGCTTGATTAGATTATTTTTTTTCTGCAATTTTAATTACACCTAATTAAATAAGCTGGCTGACAGTACCATAACCTCCAGATTGCTACGTAACCTCTAAATTTTGTCTTTGATTTTTTATCTGCAGACGGCCAAAAAAAGTACTTGTTTATTGTTTATGGCCAACACAACATATCCAATCAGTACTTGTCATTTTCTGGAGAAAACAAATCTTAGAAATGGATGATCAGCATTCGGTCAGCAGCCCACACCAATCCAGTGCACTGGGCAAAGAGGGGAAAAGCCAAACAAAAGTTCGTCCATCCCACTTTGATGGGTTGATTTCATCTCATCTGGTCCGATAAGGTTACTTTCTTCCCGCTCGGTTGTTCTTTTTCTTCTCTCATCTTATTCGAATTGTTCCTATTCAATCTTCGCAGAGCGAGCTAGCTAGCTAGATATCCTCTAGCTTGCTGATAAGGACATGATATCTAGAAGGGCGTGTGACTGTTTCGTTTCGTCCGGTTCAAATTTGGGAGAACAACGGTCCAACAGTGCAAATCATTTTAGAATTAAGTATTGGGCCAACAGTACATTCGGTCTATTTTTACCTAGTTTAAATATCAATTCGGTTCATTTTTCTTCTCTATTTATAAAATTAATAGGACCAAGGACTGAAACATATTATATTTGGTTCAGTATGGTCCAATTCAATCATCGATTTGGTGTGATGCAGTCTGCTGCGAACAAACCCGTTACACACCCCTAATCGGAAAGGTGGTATTTTTTTCTCTCCAAGAAAAGTGGTATTTTTGTAAATAATATAAATGAATGGTTGAAAATTTATACTCTAAATCTCCATATTATAAACAATCTACAGATTTTAACTAATCGAATTGTTGAAAAAGGATTGGTGTTCTCATTTTTATTACACCGATGGAAAACATTCGATTGAGAATATAAATTTAATTTTTTATCAAATACCATGTTTACTTTTTAACCAGGAGATTATTTGACGGGTTAAATCATGAAAGATTTCACGAATCAAAATATAAAATCTCTCAATTTAACATCTATAAATGTCATATATTTTAAACTTATGAAACTAAAAGCAATGCAAATGTTTTGTACGAATTGGAAAGCTCACACCATCACCAGTCTTTTTTTCAATTCATATGCTTGGATTGTATCCAAATTCCCACGTATATGACACATTGAACCCAAATCAGTGAAATCACACAATTCTTTTCAATTCACCCATCCTCACCACCCAATATGTGTATTCTTTAACTTTTCTTCCGGGCCCTAATCAACAAGATTGATGGAAGAATGACAAAAGAGTATAACAGTAGAACAATGATCACACCGGCCAGCATAACATAGTGGAATTTCAAATTCCAACTTTCTGGAGGATAGTGGCCACTGAATCGATTCAGCCATATCTTGCACTATTGTTTCAATCGTTTTCCATTAATAGCATATGCTCAAATTCCCCCCAACTTTTGAGTTATCCACAAATGGAACTTTCTTTATTCTTTTTATTTTCATCATCACTGGGCTTAATGGGGTAGAATCAATCCACAAATTAAATTAGGGGGAGGAAATATAGATCCCCTGCTGCTGTCTTCTCTCGTCATGTTTTTCTTCACAGGAAAATACAGGAAAGGTCTCAATTAAGTGCACTCGAGTGAGTAATAATTCATTTTCTTGACTTCCAGAGCAATGATTTCTGGATGAAAAAGAAGGGAAGGAGAAAGTAGCTAAGCTAGGCCCGTTCTAATCAATGTAGGTTTTGATTCTTTAGTCCCATACATGTCTGGAAGCTTTCCCCATTTCCAAGTTCCCAATTCCAGGCTCGTGAGTTTCACATCACAAACGAACTTTTGTAAATCAACATAGGAGATGCGATTCTTGTAAGAGAGTGGTATAGATGATTTTTTTTTTTTAATGATGATATTTTTGGAAATTTTAGTTTTTGGGTGGTATATTAGAAAAAATCTTGAGATACGACGCCTCCAATTGGACAACAACAAGAGGTGATCAATTGCAGAATGAGGGTACATGACTCAATCACTCGAGTAAGGGTATAGTATCATACTCCCAATTCTAATTAATTCTTGGATTAGATATTGTTACTTTACTAAGGGTTTGGTGTAACTCTGCATTAATCAAGGGTACCACAGAATTCTATGTAGATGATGTATGAGTACTATTGCTAATTTAAAGATAATATATGTAATAATCAAGGGTACCACAGAATTCTTTGTGGACAATGTATGAGTACTATTGCTAATTTCAAGATAATATATGTAAGAAAGTAGCTAAGATCCAGGTCTTTCCCAACAATTTCAATTATTGAAATCACTTGGTTTACTACAATATAAAAACTGGTTCGATCGTGGATCACTTGTTCAAGTTCTCAGTAATCTCAATATTAGTTGTTCAATTAAAACACCTGATATAATGTCCGTACAAACTTCAATCTCATAAACCGAGAAATTATAAAACCAGGCCAAAGTGCACGTAACTCACTATTGGTCTTATCCACTCAACAAAGCATTTCACCTCTTTCAATGAATGCCGCCCATAGATGTATGCATGCATACTATACAACAAGTGCTCTACATATCTTGGCCGGTTTGCCCACCCCTTTGACTAAGAAAGCCTTCCAATCATAATTCGCAGCAAACTCATCGTGTCTGTCAGAGCGAGCTAGCTAGCTAGCAGTAATAATGTATTGTTGGATCATCCAACATGGCCTAGTGGCGCCGATTTCTGATATTGACACCAGTAGTTACTTACGATACGAACGCCTAGCTAGTTAATTAATTAAAGCGAGGGATACAATGTATGTTGAATCTATTTATCTAGGGCTATGACTAGTTGCTTGCTATATAGGGTTTCGTTGTTGTACTAACCATTGAATAATATATGGCGTTATAAAAAGAAAACAATGTATGGCTTTTGCAAATTGTACGGGATATTTGGGTTACTGTTCTGAGTCTGGTTTGTAACTGTTTTCCTTTATCAAATTGGATTAGGGTTAGACCACATGGAGAAGTACTATAAATACTTCTCATATCCTCTGTAATATGTATCTTCTTGACGTATAGTGAAACTGGCTCTACGTGAACTAGCTGACACACATCGTATTAGAGGACCATATAAATCCGTTTGTCGTGTTCGTTCTTATTTTCATTTTATTGATTTGTTGAATCCTCCAATTTTTCGATCTACATCAACGAGTTAAAAAAAAAGCTATCTATATACAGTGAAATATGATCTCTCAAGTCAGTGGATGCGTAGCTGATTAACCACATGACTTCGTCTAACGTTTATTTGCTCGTTTCGTCCATTGTCGTTTATATTGAGAATCATCGATGGATATATATCGCTAGCTAGCTAGCTAGCCTGTTTGAATCATCGATCGTGCTATTGATGTTGATGCAACAGATACATTAATCAGTGTTGCAATCGGAGAGTGTAGCATATATGTCTACAAAACCGACTGTAACGGTGGACGGTGACGGTGGTGGTGGGCGCCGCCGTGGCACAACATGCAAGTGGTAGTGGCGGGCCGCCGGGAAGCTTTCGTCAATTGGCAGTAAATGTGATGTATAGCATGCATGCATTTTGGGAGCGCTATAATTTTACATGCATGCATGCACAGTTTTTATTTCCCTTGTGGGCGGTGAATGATGAATCCCAATCCAACATATCGACGCATTCTTCCTATTAGTCAAAGACTTCATTGTTGCCTTGGCTTTTGCTACTTTCTGTGTATCTTCCTTCCCTTTCTCTCTTTTTTTCTTTTTTCTTTTTTGGTTGAAACCCTTTCTCTTTTTTGGTAAAAAAGAAACCCTTTCTCTTAACAAATCGTCACATATGAAATTTTTTTGAAGAAATTATGACAAACAAAAAATTTAAATAGAAAACCCCGTTAATTTAAGGGCTCAATGCTGAGGTATAATTTAGAACTCTTGAAGTTGTTAAATGGGGGCAAGACGACAGTTTTAGTAGTTGAATCTTCAAATTAAGGAAAAAACCGACTACCAAAATGTGGCCAAATTCGGGTTATCTTATACGCACCCATCTACAAGATATATAATAGAGATTCATGTGTCAAGTTTTCAGCATTTTGAAATTGCTGGCCATAGAGGGT